AGTAAGTATATTTCACAGGCATGCTTCAAAATGGCGCCTCGGCAGTTGGTCGCCGGTCCATGGGGATGTCCTTGTTGACATAGGCAAATGCGGCGCAGAACGCTTAAGTAGCATTAAATCGACCGACACCCCCGACCTACTCCACCAGCCCCAACAGCCCCAGCGGCCCCGCCAGCTTCGACCACTTACGGCACATGCTCGTAAATGTCAGCAAATAAGGGCCCACCCAGCCTGGACCGGCACTGGACTGGTCTGTGCCCAAACAGTTGACGTTTGTAAAACGAGTGCCCATTTACTTGTTCGTGCTTTCTTTTCCAACCATTCCATTTTTATGGCCCGCCATTTCGCAAATTGCCGAAACATCCTCGTAAAAAAAGCTCGCATGGAACGCGACGGAAACTTGTTGGTTCCCTGGTCCTGGTTTTCCGTTTGATTTGTGATTTGAAATATTAAAGGGCCACATACTCTCCGAATAGTGTTCTATTTGGTTGCGACTTAGCACCAGGTGTCAGCACGCCCTGTAAACAACAGCCCATCACGGCAGTAAGTTTAGTTTAATAGTTGCAAGGGGCGCACGGACACGCTCTTAAATGCAAATTAATGCGCTGTGAGCTCCGGCATGGTAAGAAGTTTACTCATGCCTCATGCGACGCGCCAAAGATTAAATGGGGCGTTCTCCGGAGCTTGCCACCAGCTTTGTCAACAGCAGCGTATTTGCCAATTCGAAGCAAACAAAGGAGAGGACCATGTCCGCACTAGACATGGGTTCGCTCTAAAGTTGCTGCCTAAACTTACATACAATTGTTAAAAAATATAACTATACATAAATACGTACATTCATGTACCGATGGAAAGGGCTGTGAAAATACCATTGCAATATTTGTTCTCGCATTATTTATAAACACTAATTAGGTATTTCCATTTCTAAGACATATCATTTAAACAAATGTGATAGAAATATTTTTAAACCGGATAGTTATTAGTCAGGATTTCTGATAAGTTAATTAATATTATCAAATACTTTCAAATAATGATATTCTTATTTAAAAGTTAAGACCATTTTTGCTATAAGCGCATCATTTGTTCTGAAATCGGAAAACCTTGCAAAGACTCAAAGACATCTCCATAATTGATATCGAGAAGAAAAAATTCGCCTTAATGTCAACAAAATTCGCATTTAATGTTTTGAAGTACATTAAATCGAGATTTGGTTTACTCAACTAGTTTATTTAATGCACAGACTTAATAATTGGCAATTTTATTTAGAATCTTCTTCTTCATCTTTGGTCCTTGTTCCTTCTGGTTGTGCATCGTTGTCAGACCATTTCCAAATCTCTTTCTTACAATTTGAAATTTGTACTTAAATCGCAATAGTTTCTACATTTTGCAGATTTTATTTCCTTTTAAGAAAAATAATCAAATTGGGTCGTTTTGTTTTTAATTAAAACATAGCTATTAGAAGCCAAAATTCACACTTGAAAAGAATTAGAGTTTGTGAAGAGTAAACATATATAAATATTTATTCTTTATCAGCATTACGATTCAAGTGTAGTTTTATTTTATTTTTCTTTTTTCCCCCAACTATTTTATATTATGAGTAGTTTCTATCAGTAATTTCTACCATATTGTACACTCTGTACCAGAAGGATAAAAGGGAGGCTACATCGACTCGTCCGAAGGACCTAAGCAAGTAAAACAGCTAAAATAATCAATCATGGATCAAGGTTCCCCCAAGCCCAACGCATATCAAGTTTGTTTTTTGTAAGGCTGTCGAGGCTTCAAAGATTTCAACATCCAAAATTTCTTTATAAAGTAAAGGACGGTTTTAGTAGGCATAAGTAGTATTTTTCAATATCCCTTAACATTGATTTATGTGTACGGAATGTTAAGACAGAAATATCAAAGACAGAATCAAAGCTGGAACAAATTCTTATTAATTGATCACTTAATCTGAAAAATTTAATATGATTAACAGTTATTAATTAAAGGAATAATAACATACCGGTAGAACCGGAAAAAAACAAATATTTGCATTGGCTAACTTGAGGGATTACCAAAATATTATTTAAAGCAAGTATTTTTACCATTGATAATTGCAAAGATAATTAAATACTAGTTTTTCGTTACAGGTCACCTCTCTTTTTATTTATTTTTTTGCAGTCCTTTTTTTAAAAGAACAAAACTGATGCCAGTTAGCTAATCGTTAGCTAATTTTTTAAGTACGGAAAGATTATGTTAAGTAGCATTAAATATGATGTTTATAGCACGATTCATTTTGCATATGCTCAATGTCTTTTTTAACACGACTTTTTTAGGAAACAATCTGCCGTGTAAAAACACCCTTTAGGTAAAAGTACAGGGTAAGCAAATTGAAATGATTTTTTTGAGTGTGTACAGGGTATTGAAATGTTTCGTTTTAACACGCCTTTTTGATTTTCATATTAGAACTAATATTTATTCACCTCTAATTCTCAGAAGCCACCAATTTGTGGACGCACAAACTTTTGAGCCAACCCAGTGTATGAGCAAAAAGGCAGAGTCATCTTCTCTTACAATCAAGCTGCTTCTGTCACACACGGTTCTGTTCCTGCTGGCTGTCAGTCTGCTTTGTTTATTTCGAGTTGTGTTTAGGCTTTTGTGGTTATTTTGAGATAGTTGGCAACATTACCTTGAGAGCTGCTTCGAGACGGCGGTTTTTCGAGTTTGCGAGTTTGCCTCGGTCTGAGATTTGTTTTCAGCTTGTGCGTAATATTTGGCACCAATTTAATTGAATTACTCTGCGCAGACGGCAGTCAGGGGCGACAGATGCCGTTTCAATGGCAGTCGCACTAATTAGTCGCAAAAGCATTTAATTAGATGAACGCTCGTACGGCAACTGGAATGGCACCAAGTAGGGGTTAAGCTGCTTAGAGTGCAGTGCATTGAGACAAATTGTGAGACACATCATCCATTACGGCTAAATGCCTGTAAGTCGACTATAATCAAATTGAATTGCTAACAAGGTAACGACCTCGCTTGCCATGTCGTCGGCGACGGGGTCGTTTCCGAGGACAAGGATATGGGGCAAATCAAAGCGTTTAAATTAATTTCACGTGGATGGGCTCGAAAGTACATAATTTAACGACTTGGCGCGTCAACGAAATCTATCCGTTGTACTCTGCCCGAAGGCAGCAACATGCTCTGTTTTTGACAAGCTCTCTCTGATTCTCCCTGCAGGAGTCTATTTCATATATCTGTCTCATCTATTCACTTTCGACTGCCAGCCCCCCCTTTCCACTGCCACGCTAACAAGCCGCCTGTCATGCTATTTACGCTTTCCAGGAAGAAAAAAAATATAAATGGTGCCATAAACACGTCGCACACGTATGTCCCATTTTTAAAAATGGCGTCACTTCCGCCGCGCAGATTCTTGCCAGGCTATTACATTTGATTTCAATATCCCTCTATAGAAATCAGGGCTGCAGTCCCATCTCGCCCATGTTCTATTGGATACTTGTCACTTCTTAGTTCTGCGTGGGATGGGTATTTTTTAAATTTGCCTCGTTTCTACCTCCAAATATTTTACAGTGGTAAGAAAATCGTGGTCACTTCACTTGTTTTTATAAATAATTATAAAAGCTGCTTGTTTTAAGGTCTAATTCTCAATGTCTTTGTGAGCTCACTACTGGAAATTATTTCGCTAACTTTAACTTTAACGCTGACTTAAAATCAACCGATCTGGAATATGTTTGAAACAAAACAAACAAACGAAAGAATTATATATGTATTAAGTTTGGTTATTAGTTTTGGAATTACAGGCAGTATTGATGGAATAGTGTAGTCTAGATCTATTTTTCTCGTCATGCTGATTATGTTTCTTTCTTATCCTTGTTACGTACTTTGCACAAACCAAATAATTTATTATATTGGTGAAATATTGCTTCCCAATAGTTCTCAACTAGAGAGTGTCTCCATTCGTCCTCCAAAAGGCAACGTCATTCACTAATGCAAAGCATACCCGTGACAATGTTTAATAAATAAAGATGTATTTTTTAAAAACCATTGTATTGATTATAAGGGATCATTAGGGACTAGCTCTGTTAGATAGGCTGAATATTTAAATGTGTTTAAGATCCGAAATGAATGCCATTTTCAAAAGAAAATTGTATCTGCTAGAAGGTGTTTAATGGCATTGACTATAAACTTTATTCCCTGGTACTCTTACAAAGTAATAAATAATTACAAATATAGGAACTTTTAGTCGAATTATTGCTTGTTTTACTGCATGTCCTTGAGAAATCTGTAATTTTAGAAATCTTCGAGGCTTTCCAGCTCATTTTAGGAACCAATTCCATATTCAGTTGCAAACGCATCCCTGATTCAAGCACAGAGTAAGTTGAATGTGGCTTATGAAGTCGTTAGCGCGTCTATCACGCCACCATAAGAGCCCATTTCCCAGTCCCGCGCCCTGCGAGGCATGTGCGTTGCCTTGCCGTCAGCAATAACTGGCATCAACGTTGAGAATAATTGCCGGAAATACAAAAGACAGGCGCAGAAAATGAACCTTAATAGAATAGGAATAGATTTCCAATTTTGTCATCCTGTGGTGCTTCCAAAAGAGATTTGGTTTAACTGATAGTCTTCTTGTTTCCTCTTCCCTTCCCGCCGTCACCTCCGACGCCATCATCAGCGATTGCTCTTGCGGCTTACGTGGCGTATGCTCAACAACAATTAATTACGCCGTTTGTGAGTAGTTGCTGCTGCTTGAGAGGCTTCTTTTCAATTTCCATTGTGCACATGGCGCCACCCTAGGCGCGAGTTCAACGACTGGCCACTGGACACATGCTACATAGGCACATACATGTACTTGTACAGTCGTTGCATATAAAGGCGAGGCGGGTCTGGCAAGCAGCATTCGCTTAGAGGACGTTGCGCTCGAAAGTAGGCAACGCAATCTGTAACTACAAGAAGCTGCCACATCTGCAGGAGCAAAATAAGCTGCAATAACTGATCGCGTTAGAATGGCCACATTGCCCTTGCTGCTACTGAGCTGCTGTGTGACAACGCTTTTGCTTGCCCAAGCCCTGGAGCTGACGCCCGCTGGGAAGCCCAAGTACGCGCCGTTTCCTTTAGACGCTGTTGAACTGCCTGTGGACCTCGATGGGGAGCAATCGAGCAGCGACGAGCAGGAGTCGTTTTCGCTGCCGCTGCCCGCACATCACTCGCTGCCGCCGGCTTGGTTGCAGTTCGATGAGTCGCCGCCCGCTCCCAAGCAGCGCATTTCCGGCGGCAGCAGCAAGGCATCCCTCATCAAGCTACCCCACTCCTCCAGCTCATCGTCCACGTCCATGTCCGCCAACCAACACAAGCATGCACACACCCACCAGCGCAGCTGCTCCATTGAGATATCCAGCAAGATTGCGGGCGTGTGCCAGCCCATGTCGCATATAGGCGTCTCCGCTTGTGTTTCCGGCGAATACATGGAGGTGCTGCATCCGGACTGCATGTAAGCGGCGTATGTGTGTGTGTCTACGACTACCTGGTGCGCGTATGAAATACATATAAATAATAAGTTAAATAAATTAAACAATTTGTATTATAAAGAGTTTCTTGAAATTATGAATTCTAAGAACAAAGCCGTATTTTAATGCCGAAAAAATCGTTAAAATCAGATTAAACTGCTACTTAACGCCAGCCTATATGAGTCCACAAGAAGTCTAACACGACCTAACATTTCAAATTTCATCCTAAATGCCACTCAGAGCTTTGTTTTCTAAAACATCGTGTTTTTTGTTTAAACAATATATTCTTTGCATCCATAAAAGAACTAAATGCTTTTTGTAAATACTGTATTCATTGTAGATAAAAGTAAGCAGTTTTGAAGCTAAAGTTTTACTCTCTTTTTATATTTGTGTTATCTTGATCTGCACCAATGTTTTAAAAATCTCTTCTCCATTTCATATCCGTTCTCCGCTGTTGCTTTATTTTTTATGCCGGCTTATTACCAAAATGCTGTCATTCCATTCCATTATCCATTTTCCAGTAGGTTTGTGCTTACTGATCGGGTCCAAAGAACTTGGCGGTTGCTGTTCAGTCAGTTTTTCTTGGGCTACTGAGCTCTATCAATGGGTTGAGTCCAATAGATGTATGTATGCACCTTTGTTCTGCAAGTGCGATAAAACATAACAAGAGGCCAACAACTCGCATAGTTGTTCCCTAGATTTCAAAAATTAGAAGCGCGTTGCCTCGTATGAGAAGTCTTTAGACCGGCTTGGCGAATCTATATCAGAAAAGTGGCAAATGAATTCAACGCGATCAAAGCAAGCATATCGAGAGCTATGAATTATTGAGCGCTTATTGCTCCGCAGAGCAAGGTAGAATTCATCTACTTATACTTATGAAGTGTTTTGCCGATGTTAAGGCGACTGCGACTGGAAAGACGACGCCGCCTACGCCTGCTACTTTGCCAAACAACAATAGTCGCCTGTTTGTGTGATGATATGGTGAGACAGGCCAATAATTTGCACACAAATTGGTCAAATGTATCTTAAGTCTCTCAGTTGAGTCTACAGGAGTACAATTCTTGGCAACGATCGGATCTGAGCACTATATTGTTGCATTGAGAAAATATGCATATTTTGAAAAAACTTCTTTTGCGTTTATTTACTTGTTCATTATTGTGTCAACAACTATGGGTCGTCAGCATAGGGTAATGCCAGTAGAATAATGTTTAGATGTAAAATAATTATTAGATCTATGTACCTATACAATATTAATAATAAAAATTTGCCATGCCATACATATAATCCAAAATCCATGAACTATACTTACTGTCTGGTCCTAGCCCCAGGAGACTCCTACTTTTGCTCTGAGATTCAAATTTGGGCTTTCATCAAACCAGGATTCTATTACATTCGTAACAAATAATTTCAGGAAATACTTGTACTTTTTGGAGGGGTTTAAGTGCGAGAAGTGCGTTGACTTTTACAGTTTTGTCATTGTCAGGGTAGAATTATTTCGGACTGGCCTCCTTCACATATCACAGCAGCTGGAAGCCCAGAGCTTGGACGAAAGCTGGTGAGCAGCGAAATAACACTACCAATTGCAAGATTGCCGTATAATGTGCAAAGATAGGGATCGTAAATTTACCCAACTCTTCCTTTAATGCATAATTATAATAACTTAACTCACATGACGCTGCTCCATAGCTTCCCAAACCCATGGGCGTTTTCAAAACAAGGTAAAATGATTAGGGATTATTAATCCCCGAGCAAGCTTACTCTCAGATAATTTTTGGAGGACAGCCTTCAGGGTTCTGAGCACATAGCGTCGAAACAAATAAATAATGTTTGTGGGACCAGTTATTCGAAAAAGGGTCCTTCTGTTTATTAAAAACGACAAATGTGTTAAAACAAGTACTACTTGTATATTACAACTAAACATATATTCTGACAGACAACAACTAACATTCAGACTTAATAATTATTTCTCGTTTAAATGCGTAAGCTAAGAACTAAACATTCAGGAAAACTTAAAGGCAACCTCAATAAATAAGCAAATCAATCATCAAGGTTAATGGAACCTTCTGCATTAAATGCATTAGTATGTGAACGATTACACAGGAATTTGATAAGATTAAACGAACTGCTTTTAATCATCAATTAACGAAGTATAAATAAGATTATGTTTATTCCCGAATTAATGCATATTAGGCTTGTAGCAGGCAGAAGATGCTTCCTTCTCCGATCCTGTACAGCATACTTGTTCTTGGCCAGAAAGAAACATTTATGTAAGGTTGTTCCACCGTCAGTCCCTCTTTATGAACGCCTGGAACTCGAAAACGGTTTGACAAAACGTGCAAACTTGATATATGGCTCTCCAAATCCATTATTTTTGTTAATATTCCTTCCTTCTGACTACATAATCTTATTAATGTTATCTATAGTGCTTATGTTTCTCAAATTGATTATCTCGAGGGATCATTAGCGAAACAACTTTAGAGTAAGCAGCCAGCTTGGTTCTTCTTTTTATACCCTGTACCCCAAGGTTGAAAGGTATTCTGGTTTTGTTCGAATGTATGTAACACACATAAGGAGACGTGGCAGACACCCCCTCTGCAAAGGCGATATAGCCATGTCGATACGTATATTTTATATAACTATATATTATTATATTAATTAATTTTTTAACTTAAATGCATTTGTTGTTTGTCTTTTGGGAATAGGAGTTGGTCCTGCTCCACTGTAGCATTTCCTTCCTGCTCTTCTTTTGAACGAGTAAGCGCGTTTAATAGCATGTGTACCACAATAGTGGCATGTTTTTTCGGGTACAGGGTATTTAACGGCGGGTTCCATCGACTATAAGACTATCTCTTGTTGTTAAGCAATACTTAATTCTACACCTTCCTACTTGAGATCACATTTTGAGCTGCCTGGTTGACAGTTGCTATCTCTGCTTTGGCCATATGGTGGGCTTAGGCGGCTTCACGCCGGGGGCGGTTGTCGAATTGCCAATAGCGACGCATTGAGCGCTGAACAGTTCCAGTAACTGTGCCGCTTCGAAAAATGGCGCTCGCTTCCAAGAGCCCGGCCCCACTTCCTCAATATTATCGTAGATGAGCCCACTTGCATCCTCCGCGCGGAAACGCTCCAGCAGTTTTTCATCCTGGCCCAAATCGTTGCCCCAGATGAACACCACCTGTTGCATATCCAGTCCCAAATGGATCATCTGCTCGTTGCCCAGAAAATTCTCCACATGCGTGGCTGTGCCTAGAATTTCCGCAGACTCGGCGAAGTTGATGGCATCCGTGAAGCTCTGTGTGCGCAGGTCCATGTAGGCATCCCACACCGAAGACTGGCCAATGCTCATCAGCATGACGGGAAAGGCGTGTTGCTTGAGGGCCAGCATGGTGCATATGTCGGCATCGAAGCTAGCAAAGATGAGCGCTCGTCCACAACCATGACGGGCCGCTGTCTCAATCATCGTGTCGACATAAACATTTTTGTTGTGCGGCTGTGTGGACTCCATTACGCCAGACTCCATCAGCTGCGGCCACTTGATCTCCACAATCAGTCCCAGCGTCTTAGGCAGCGCCTCAAACACCTCCTTGAGCTTGGGAAACAGACGCTGTGACTGGCGTCCACCAAGCACATTAAGGTGTGTATATTCTTGTATCGTCCAGCGCTGAAGCATAAAGACCCGACTCGCTTTTAGCTCCACATAGCTAAGCTGTCGAATGAGCACGTAGCGAAGGTCAAAGCGATCTTGCACCCGCTTGTCTGGCCCCGCCGTGTAGAATCCGAAGCCATGCCACAGCACTGGTACGTAATCGCGTGTTAGATGTACCTCCAGCAGGACCATATCTCCCTTGGAAGCCGGCACAGCGAGCATACTCTCGATGGTGTTTTCCAACAACTTCATCTGAATCGTGTCCAAAAAGAGATAAAAAGGAAAAGGAACATTAAAGAAATATCAGTTACATATCTTATTGATAAGGATAGGGCTATATAAATTGTGTAACTTTGGAGCAATTAAGAAATGGGGCAGATCGGAGTACAACACAGTATCGGGACGGACATTCATACATAAATATTTTTGTAGATGTTCTTTCTAAATTTTCCACCCTTCCTATTCGACCTGATGGTAAGAAAAATCGGTACTGAATAATCAGCAGGAACGTAAATAAAATTTCTTGAATAATATATAGTCAAGAATCGCAGTCGTTTGTAATTAATTTTGGCTGCGAGTGCTTTTTTACAAATAAAATATAGCATTTACCATCAGGGCGGCGGAAAGTTACTCTATGATCTTTCTAATTGGTCGACAATGGTCCGAGTTGTAGCTTCCAATAATATTTGTACTCAAGGTCGTACGCAGCTTTTTCCTTTTTCCTTACTCCTACTTACTATATCGGTATTTAACAAAATGTTAAGCCATAAAACCCTCTAAAGCTAGTTTTTAACTTTTTATTCGATTCAAAAATACGAGATCTGTTCAAAAGAAAACGTGAATTTTGAATCCCTTTGAAGAGTATTTTTTAATTCATCATTATCTATCTCGTCACCTTCAAAGCAACCCCCCTCAGATATAATGCACAAAATAATCACCTTTTCTTTTGAACACACCATGTATATGTGTTCGGCAGACAAAGTTATTAAAATTCATATTCGGAACAGAGAAAGTTCTGTTAAGAGATATGGACGTGTTTTTTAAGTGATCCACAAATTTAAACAAATCAATTTAAACTGTTGTGATTTATTTTATGAACTGTGCACCGAAAATTGTTAATTGTTTGCGCCAATTATTTTCCAAATTTCGTTTTGCGCTTCTCTTTTTCTCCCACAGGCTTTTATGTGTGATGCTTCTACAAATTTTGGTGATGCTTTTCTCCTCCATGAATTTCTACTAGGGCTTCTATTTATTGCCGCCCCCAGTGGAAAACTGATCTCTGCCATAATGTGGGGTGCAAAAAACTGGCACTCCTAAGGATGCTCATGATTGTGACCAATTGGTTGTGTTAACATGAAAAATAGGTGAAAAATCAATTTCAAGTAGCACAAAATTGTGCCTTGGCTGTTCGCAGAAACGACTTGCGAGTCAATAGCAATATACTTTATATATCAGCTCTTTAGCTCTTGTACTTGCGCTCATACAGACAGACAGGCGGACGGACGGACGGACAGACAGACGGACAGTCATACTGATCAAGAATATATGTATATACTATGTGGGGCCTGCCACGCCTCCTCCTAATCATGTACATTTCACGTACTGAGTATAAAGAGTCCTTTTTGATTAGATATAGCTATTAAGTCTACCTAATAAACTAATAGTGAAATACTGAGAATCTAAAAAAGGACTCTTCTACTCTTGATATTAAATTCAGTGTTTCTTAAATTTAAAGTAATTTCTCAAAGTGATGACTGAAATATATATGTTAACCCATCAGCTTTCAAGAATTCGTTCGAAACTTTGTGAGTTACGATCTCATTGATATATATGGCCTCAGTAAATGAATGTTAATATCTCACCTGTCCGCTGCTGTAACTGACACCCAGACCGCGATATCCTACATCCATTGTTGGCCAATTGTTGGGCCAGTAGCGCTGGAAACTAACTCTCAGATTACAGGCGGCAGCTCTTGGCATGGGCTGCACCACAAGATAGGGTACAATGAGCTCGCCGACCTTCTCTGGCTGTAGGGATCCATAGACGGGCACTTGCAAAATGCCGCGACTGCCCCGTAGTTCCAAGGGCCAAATATAAGCCTCCCCCAAGGGATCTTGCTGATTATCCCTGATTTCCATACGCAAGGCATGGGCCGTACCCAGGGCCTGACTAATTCTAAAGATCACGATGGAGCCGGAACTGTAGCGCACGCCCATCTTTGGTTGCTGCCGAAAGGAGGAACGATTATAGGCGTAGCGAGAAACCTCGATGTTAACGTCGTCCATTAGGCTAAGGGCCGTCAGGTGTAGCCGATACTTGGCCAGCTCCGATTGTCTATCCAGTTGCAGGTGTTGCTGCCACACAAACTTCAGTTCCACGACATACTCGTGCTGGAGCCAACCGCGATGCAGCTGTCGACCTCCACCTACCGATCGCGGATAGGCTTGCCCAAAGATATCCACGCCCGGCGATCGGTACATCTCATAGGTTTGCAGCATACGAGCCACCTGCTGACCTTCCCAGCGGCGCAGCACGCGCTCTCCCCGCGCATTGACCACGTAAGTGAGGTAGCGATAGTAGAAGCGCTGACTGGCGCAAATCCACAGGCGCAGGAACCAGTGGGTGCGCTCCTTGTTGACGGATCTGAGCGGCACCGCCTTGGCTACACTCCACTGACCCAGCTTGGGGTGATCACCGCTTACGGCTAGAACCTCATCCTCGGCCAGCTTCATCTGCTGCAGTTCGAGATTAAAGACGCGGAACAGGGGGACACACACATAGCTCCGTGCACTGTGCGCTTGGAGGAGCGAGTGTTGGTGCTTGGTCTCGTATCGCTCCACCGACAGCAGCAGCTCGGGTGTCACGACAAGCGTTTCATTCAGATTCACGGCACTGTCAATTGGCGATGACGTAGCATGGGCCCTCTCCGCAGCGAATGATAAGCAAAACAAAAACGCTGTGTAGAGTATGCTAATTGATTTTAACACATTCGAATGTGGTCGATACATTTTGGAAGCTGTGACGGAATGGGGATGGGGACGGGGACGGGGACGGACACTGGCACTGGCACTGACACTGACACTGGAGCAGCGGTGATGACGGCGTCGCCAACATCGTCGAGCAAACGGGTTTTGGGTAACACGACGCGGCGCAGCTTTCCGAGTTGGCCGCTTCTTGGTTCTTGACCGCACGAGGACAGACGTAGAAATGAAAGAATGTTGTAATGGTCATTGAGTTTTGTTGGATCTGACGCGTTGGGTCTCTTGGTATGGGATTGGGTCTGGGTATGGGTATGGGTATGGGCCTGAGTCTGAGTCTGGGCGCATCGTTGGATGTAGCGGTCTGTAGCGACTTCCAACTGGTTATTGTCTTGGTTGAGTCAATTAATAGCCCGCACACAACTAATTGGGTTGTTTGGCTTGCCAAATTGTTCGGTTGACTCTTCTTCTTTGGGTATATGTTAATTAGCGACCACTTGGCCGCATTTTGAAAGTTGTCTGCATTAGGGAAGGCAGTTCGACATGCTCTTGAAAACTGGTAACGACTGAGCACAGAACGTGACGGACAAGCATCGGAATAACAGCATAGGTGATGCTACATACTTGTATATTGGCAGATTCGTATCACTTCTTGAATTGTTGACATGAATATACTTGTACACTCATTCAATATCACTTGGACTCGTATAATTTATAATTGTTTATAATGTTCTTAGTGATCAAAGCCAAGGGTACACTTCGATAAAATTGAATCACGCGCACCTCTCTAGTACAAGTATGTTCAATATTTGTTGTCTCACCAAACATTTATTTCACTCTCATTTCCTCTATATATTGTCGTTGACCACCAGCGGCTTGACATAATGGGGGTGATAGTCCAAATGCATGTACTTGTTCAGATGCCAGCGCTGCACGGGCACATCAGTCTGGTTTGTGCAGGTTCTCTGATCGACCAACTTGAAGTCCTTGGTGGCCAGTTGTACGGACTTCAAATACTCTTCCACCTTGTTGAGTACCTCGTTATCGGGGTCTCTGGCACGAGTGTAAATAGCCATTTGATGTCGGTACCAGGGAAGGGAACAATGCAACTCCACGGCAAAGCTACTGTAGTCGACCATCGTTATGCGCGTCCAGTACCGATCCACTACAAAGCAAACGACCAGAAAGAGAGTCAAAGAAAATTCAATTCACTCCAACTTACATTCCTTAAAGAGGCAGCGATCAGTAGCAGTCGGATATGTGGCATAAATCCACCAAATGCCTTTTATCTGTGAAAATTTGATGAATCATAAATAAGTTATAGCTTCATTAGTACAATTATAGTAAACACGTACCTTTTCACTATCCACGGGGTACTCTTTGTATAAGCATTTCCAAGCCCAGCCACTGACTGCTGACCCACACAGAAGCCAGGGCAGCCAAGTCCCCAAAATCAATGAGCCCAAGCTCCAGCTAAGGCGTTGGCTCCCATGTGGCTACATGTAAATTAGAGGCTGTATAATGGGTCATAAAGTTCCACAATCTTACTTGTCTGCGTCTGAGCTGTCGCATTTGTGGCGACATCCGAGCTTTGTGTAACCTAAGCATGACATTGGCGGGGGATTACTACGTTAATGGCATGTGGTCACAACATTTTTCATGGACGTTCTAGCATTCATTTTTACATTCGTCAGGGCAATTGAACGGACAGAGGCAAAGCAACTGGATAACTACTAAATACAAGGCAGAGACAGTTTTGAACCAATTCTCATAAACATATAATAATAATTAATAAAGCCATCTTGTCAAATAGAAATGCCAGGAAGAAGATAATAGTACTTGTAGAGAGACGTAAGTAAAATCAATCATCTTTAGTCAAAAATTGCATTCCACCTTGAGTTGACTTTTATTTTTCTTCTCTCTGAGAGTTCAGAGTTTATCATTAATTAATTAAAAAAAGTTGAAAAATCAAGTGCAACTGTTAACTAATCTTGCTTTGATTCATACAAGTATATACCTGTATACATCATTTTTGGTGTGTAAGATTTAAAAAGAGAGCTCCAAGAAACTTAGACTGTGTAGTGTTTCCCAAATTTTATCGAGCAGTGTACTCAAATTCTAATCCCACACAAACTTAGTCTTCGTAGTGTTTCCCAAATTTTAGCGAGCAGTGTACACAAATTCTAATCCCACACAAAGCTTTCTTCGTTGCTTGAATTCTTTAATGTTTTCAATGAAGACTTGGCAACTCAAATACTGAGTGAAGAGTCGGGAGGAGGGTGCTTTTAAAATTGGTCAACCTTACTAAGGGAAAACAAGTTCTTTGTTATTAATAAAGTGTAGCTTTATTTATTGGCATTCTTTGTTTTATTTTTGTTTTTTGTACATTACCAATCTTCAATTTTGTTTATGTATATTTTAAAATATATTGCTTTTTATTTGATTTTCGAATATCGTGTGTAATCAAAAATAGTATGCAGGTGGTAGTTTGCGTTTAAGAGTAACATTGTGTATATAAATCCATATATTATTTTTAACTGCTTTGCATTTGCTTAGCTGTCCTGGTTCATTGTCTTTATAATACCAATCCTGCGTTCTCTCCTACACATGTACATATCGTGGGGTAAACCCCAACAAGTTGGCGTCTTGATTAACATTAACAACTGACTTTGTCTCGCCTTTAATTCTCGCTATTCTACTTTTTTTATTGTACATTGAACTTAATTGTTAATCATTATCACCGCTTGTCAAACAAGAAAAGCAACGCTCATTATTTTATACATTCTTAGATAAACAATCTATACGAGTTAATTATTTCCTTTTTTTAGACATATAGTATGCATGTATGCGATTAGCTCGCCCGCTATAGATTGGAATGGGGGCTCTTGCAATTTATAAAGCGTCTTTGCATTAATTATCGTATTTAAAAGATAACAAATTACATGTGTGAAAAAATATGAAGTATATTTTAAAAGTATACTACCCCCCTGCTTAAGGCCAGCTTCTTAAACCGGACACTGCGCCTCGAACTCCGCCAGCAGCGCGGTCGAGTTGAAGAACGCCCGCTGCTTGTCTTTATTAATGTAGAGATTGGTCCGATCGTAGCATGTGGCCGTTGCTCCGATATCCGTGAAGTACTTCACGCGCTCCTTGGAATTGCAGTCGTCACCCCATATGACGGCAATTTGTCCTTGTGCGCGGGCCTGCTCCAGCATTTGTGCACCCTCCTCGCCCAGAAAATCCTCGGCGTGTGGCGCAGTACCGGCCAGTTCAAAGGCTTGCGCGTTGTTTATGGCAGCGGCAAAGGTGCGCGTGCGCAGATCGCTGAAGGGCTGCCACTTCTTCGTCTGGCCCATGGTGAGGAACATGACGGGGAAGAGGTTTTGCTTGAAGCGCAGCATGGTACACATATCGGCGTCAAAGCTGGAAAATATCAACGGTCGACCACACCCATGGCCAATAACCGTCTGTAGCACACGATCGGCAAAGAAGTTCTTGTCGATTGTCTGTTCTGCCTCCACGCCGCCACCCTCTTTTCCCTGCGGCCACTTGATTTCGACATCAATGCCTAGCGAACGCGGCAGCTGCTCCAGAACCTCGACCAGGCGGGGAAAGATGCGATGCTCGGCACGGGGCTCGGCGTTGTGGGAAGGGTACTCCACTACCTTGCCCTCGATGACTGCAAAGATACGCAGGCGCTTCAGCTGCTCGTAACTAACATCCTTGATCAGCACATATTCCAGCTGTTCGGCACGCTCGATAACCTTGCCTTGGCGTGCTGTGCGCAACCCGAAGTCGTGGTAAATCACCGGAATGCCATCGGCCGTCAGATGAACGTCCAGCTCAATCATGTCAGCCAGATAGTGGTGGGCGCTCAGAAAGGACGCAATCGTGTTTTCCCGCTCTTCAGGGGCATCCGCAATGTAAGACTTGCCATTGCCGCGATGACCCACGTCCAGATTGGGCCAACTTTTTGGCCAGTAATGGGCATAGGTGTTTCTGAAGTCCAGCGACGACAGGTTGTAGGGCTGCACAACCACATAGGGCAGGCGCAAACGGGCAATGACTACCTCCGGCTCTTTTTCAGACTTGATGGCCAGCTGCAGTAAGCCCTCACTACCCTGCAGCTGCTCCGTACTGAGGCGAGCGCTGCCAATCAACTCGTTCTGGAGACTGTAGCACTCCAGCCTGAAGGACTGCCGACCGCCAGTCAATGGCAGAGTGATGTGGAAGATAACAACATCGCTCTTGGTATAGTTCACACCATGTGCTGGCTGCTGCTGTAGCTGACTGCTGCCGTAGCGCTGCTTGCTGACCTCCACCTGTAGTCCGGTTGTCGCCTCCACGGGCACCACCTTCAGCTGTATATGCTGTGGGTCGAACTGCTCGATGTCGTGCACCTGGAACATCTTCTCGCCGTTGAACTTCAGCTGAACAACAGCCTCCTGGGTGAGCCAGCCACGATGCACTTGCGTCTCGGCACCGGCACTGACCACTCCAAAGTTATCTGGCAGCTGCTCGCTGCAGTCGTCAGCGCAGGGCCCCAACTGACGAGGCTTGAAGCTCGTCTCCCAGCGACGTATTTGCTTATGACCCAGCGCGTCCTGCACGTAGACGAAGTAACGGTACTGCAGCCGACGGCAGGCGTGCAGGAGAACCGTGGTATGCCAATTCAGGTCATCCACGCGCTGGAGGGTCACGGAGCGTCCCAACTGCCATTCGCCCAGAGCCTTGGCGTCCCCAGTCAGGGCCAGCTGCTCCTCCTCGGCCAGAGGCGACTGCAAACGCACATTGAAGGTACGCAGGATTGGTTTGCAGACGCTTGCGGATTGGATTTGCTCGTCCAACAGCTCGTTGCTAGCATAGTTGTTATGCACTATCGCTGCTGCGGCATCCACGTACGCGGCGCACTGTAAGAGAGAGAGAACGAACAGAATGGCGGTGGTTAGTGCTTGGAGTCGAGACATGGCGACAGTTGGGCTACGCGACAGCGACTGACGACTACAGCCGCACAGCAGAGTGCTAATAAGTTTCAACAAAGCCGACATCAGCTTAGCTTTCGCTTGACCCCCCAATCTCTGTTTTTGCGCACATCAAACTAATTATAGCTTCCACAGCTGATTTGATGTGCGCCCCGATAGTGGTTCGGCCTGTTTTCGACGGGTTTATCAGCTTAATGGGCACTTTTCAGTGGGCGCCGTTCCAAGCACGAGATGCGCTTTGTACTGTGCGGTCTAACAATCGTATTACCCTCCTCCCCCAACCCACCTACAGCAGCGCTACGATAACCGTAGTTTGTTAGCAAATAACATCACGTGTTCGAGCTCATTTCCTTATGGGCAACATATTTTAGATTAGGCTCATAGTTGAATGTGCGGATGGCGCGTGTGTTTGTGTATATTGTCGGTGTTTAGATGCGGATAAGCGAATCGGCTAGCACCCAGAGCTCTCCAAAAATATACCCTCCTAAGAAACGAAGCGATCGATAACTTACCTAATAAAAGCGTGCAACAAGTTGCAAGGATTTTTTGATCGAAATCGATATTGTCATCCGAAACATATGATACGTTCATTTTATTCCAGACATTGGTTTATTGTACGACATGTAACTGGAATTCTGTCGAAACTTGTTCAATTTTGTAAAGGAGAAAAATAAAATGTAGCCTATAATTGCAGTGTATAACTTCAGAAATCGAATCTAAGGCATTGAATATTATAATAATATTACGGATAACGGATACGTAAAATCTGCGAAGCCGATTATACAAACAAGAAGCCACATGTCTTGCCGATGGCGACAGCCATTTGTAACAAAGACAAAGCCTTGGTGCAAAACGTTTCAAATTTGAAACCAAAAGGTACATTATATTTTGTATTAAAACTGAGTGATAAAGACTCGATCGTTCTTACGATAATATCAGGTATCTGTGTACTGCGGCTAAAATGGATTTGTGATTCAAAAATATGTTCAACATCTCTTACTTCTATCATAAGCTTTACTGAATTCTACAGAAAATTATCGCCTTCGTTCTTAGTCGCTCGCATTACCTTGTTGTTGAACGCGGGTAAAATAAGATGGGTGCGATGCCGCAGCTGTGGCTGCAGTAGTTGTTGTTCTTGCGGTCTGTGAGGCCACAGCCTACAATAGGTGGTGATGATGCAACCGCCAAACATCCCGCATTTGGTGGTTGAGGGAATACGTTTGAGTAGCTGGGCTGAGCCCATAAATCACTATAGCGAATAACGCGTTGCGTTGGCAAAACTCGTATAAAACGCTCTATTGTTTATACATTTTTACAACAAATGCATGCCATTCATATCACGAAAAGACCCACAAGAGCGGATGGCGGCGCAAAGACTACCTTGGCAACAATTCAAAAATTTCTGCCAGATACTCACAAAAGACTCGTATGTTCTGATAAAAGTTTTGGAAGCATTTGGCTAATAGAATGACTTTCAAAACGCTTGTTTTCTGTTGTGGTGGAAGCTCTAGCCTATATTTCTCAGTATTCGATTAGTTATTTTTGGTGTTTTACGTCAACTGTTCTTTAATGCGAAGAGCCAGCGCGCGTTTTCCTAGCGATTTCCGCTGCTTGACACAATTAGCGCTGCCTTCCCAATTGGCGCACGAGCGCACAAAAGTTTATTGCTAAGAATAAAATTAGCACACGTACTAAAAACAAAAGAAAAAGCTCCACTGGTTTGCCATAAATTACAGCAATTATTTGAATTGTTTTTCGGCATTTCAACCAAATAATAAGTTATATTTTGAAGTTAATTAATTTTATGCAACTGTATTCCCTTTTTACCGCTTTTCTGATCACGTGTTTGAAAAACAAACAAAGGGCATAATGTCAGAGCACAGTAATGCGCAAAAGCGAGACGCAGGCGTACAGAGTCATCTGTTCTTTGTTTTGGGAAATTTGCAAGCAAAAGCTTTGCACGTAGCACGCCGTTATTTATTATTTATAGCAAGTGCGCTAAGCGGATGAAAGAGCTTTGCACTTATGTATGTATGTAGCTTGAAACGAGGGGTTTATGGAACAACGTGGGGGCATGTGTCTGTGTGTTTGTTTGTTCGCTTATCAGTGATAAGCTCAAGTTGATTTTAATTAAATAAAACACACCATGTGGAAAGCGCTTGTAAATCTTATGATAATCTAATCTATGGATTGCAACCATTGCCCAGTCCAGTAATATGACCTGTGTACCTATTTGCAACATGTGGCATATTGAAAAGCTTTAACGTCTACTAATCAAAACAGTGACTCTACTCTGAAAGCGGAATCGTTAGTGCAAAAAAGTGAGCAACATCGTGATTTTAAATAATGGAAGTATCAGGCGATTGCGTGTGCAGTAAATTAAACTACGTTTTAGTGCATCTAGTATAATGCAATTTTTATCATTATGACAAGCTATAATATTCTAAAAGAAATAAACTGATGTAATGAGTTTAGTAGACGTGATATAATAAATCGTACCTGTAGGTACAAAGAATTTGTCAAGCCAAATGAACTCATTTTTATCTATAAAGTCAAGCTACGTATATACATATGTATATGTATTTGCTATTCTTTGTTTTATTAAAAGGAATTGCGATTAAGCACACATACATGTGCATGTATGTATGTACGAGACGGTATAAATATATATAAATCTTATTCGCTCTACCTTATTGTTTTCAACGGAACTAACAACATTTATACGAGAAACAATAAACAACGACTATGTCGCCTCTTTGTCATACCCCCATCAATTTCTTGGCAAAGTCAACACCGTCTGTGCCTCGAACACTACATTATTGATTTTAGTTCGTATGTACAAATGAACATATGTATGTATGTACATTTGTATGCATGTTTGTATATACAATGTATTCATACATACACCCAACCAATTGCATAAACAAACAAACAAGACATGCAAGACCTGCCAGCTGTGCAGTTGGATTGGGGCTGACCTTCAGCGAGCTAAAAGTCACACCTTAAGGCGCAACTTCCGACCCCCCTGTTTGTGTTTGCACAACACTATGATTGCAAGTTGAACCCATAATTACATTTTCCATATCCTCATCCAGTGTTTGCGCCTCCAGCGGCGTCAGCAGCATCGGTACGGACATATTTTGCGAAGGAAGCTGGACCACGGATCACTCACGCAATGTTTAAAAGTTAAAAGTTAGACTTTGGTTTGTTATGTTTAAAACTTTAATATTTTTCTAGGTATGATATCACAGTTGGTTTGTAGCAGGTGTTCCACTATGCGGCGTGTGCGCACTTTTGGTTCGCAATCTATTAAGTATGCATTTTGTCTGGTATCCTTTTGATGCTTTGCAGGGACCTTTGGTCTTTGTGTAAATTAGCACTTTCTGATTTCCTTTATTTTTGTGTCTTTAAATGACGCTTCGACGTCGTCGTCGCTCCGACGTTGCAGGCGCAACTGTTGCCAACGCTTTTGTTGTGCGCGCAATTTAAACGATTTCTTTTTATCGAAATCCGCCCAAAAGCTTTTCGTGTGTATTTCTTTACGAGCTCTGCGACTGTGGCTACGATTACGATGATGACGACGGCGGCAGCGTGTGCGATTTGTTGTGATTTTTGCTGGCGGGTACAGTTGCTGCTTGACTTTTTTAAATACAAAACAAAATGTTGTCGGCCTCTGAGTTGGCAACAACAATAACAACGGCACATTTAATAATAAAAATATTTTACTCCACCACTTCTCAACTATGCTAGTCCCATATCAAAAGCTCAAGCTTATTCAGAAATGAACTTTTATGAAGGTGACAACCACACGCACATGCTCCCCCAAACAATTGACCAACCATGCAAAACGTGTTGGTCGTGTGCGCTGCTGACGCCGCTGCTGTGGACGCACGTGAAAAGTTGCGCAGCAGCCCAGCCCACAAAACGGGAGTCTAGATGCCACTAATAATTCTCTCTACGCCTTTCTCGCTCTCTATTCCTCTCTGCCGCTTTTTGCTTACGTCAGCGAAAAAGCTTGCAAACCGGTTCTCGGCGGCTGCCATTTGTTTTGTTTACGTTTTCTGGCACCAGCAGGTACTCCTAGGTTCTATAAACATCAACAGCCATTATTATTTCCTTGCAAGCTTTCGTATTTTATATCACATGGCGCATGACATCAAAGCTTGTACCATTCCCCTCAAGGTTCTCTTAATATAACTATGTATGTATGTTGCTAGATGCGCTTTAAAAGTGGGTGTGTCTCCGCCAGTAAATAAATTGAATTAAACGACCGTTGTGCGTGTGTTTTTTATGCTGAGTGCTATTTTCTCATGCTTTCTCAACATGGCGACTTTGTGCGACACTCGGATGCTCCCGCGCATGTTTATTTTGTGTAGATGTACATATACTTTGTGTATGTACGAATATGTATGTCGATCAATAGTCTAGAGCATTTTATTTCGTTTTAATCGTCTGGGTGCAAAGTACAATTGGTTTTTAACACAAACAACTTTTGTTTATGCATACATATGAATATTGTAAATATATAAGTAAACAAGTGTATGCATGTGTGTGCTTGTAGTTGTGTACACGTGCCACCCAGAACTGACCGAAATAGTTATGCCAAGCACTCAATCAGATGTTCGCATGCAACAAGTATTACAAGTCTGAATCTATTTCCATATGTTTGTGTTTATACATACACGTACATAAGTATGTACATATGTATGTAGGTTTAGCTAAATAGTATGTGTACACCGTGATTTTAGTCACGTTTACTCAGCTTTACTTTTTCCCACAGCAACATTTTTACACATTTTGTTTTCAATTTGTCGTTTTAAGTTGTTTACATCATTACAAGCGCGTTTAATACATTTGAACAAAAATGTGGTAAACAACTCTTACAAGGGCAGGGGTGTGTGTTTTGTTTTATTCTTATTCCTTAAGTTCTTAAAGGCACAGTTCAATAAAAATTGTTCTGTCCTCAAACATAGCCTGGACAAGCTGTGGAATTGGTCAAAGACTTGCATTACAAATCTATCAGATCTATCATTTAAGTATAGAAACTGATAGAATAAATTTGTAAATACCCTCTACCCCGACGCCATTCTACTTAAGTAATCTTTGTTATCCTAGCAATTACGAGTATGTATCTGGCAATCGGTGCAAAACAACTCTGAGTCAACTTTTTATTTTATTAATTTACTGACGCACTGTGGTCTGAAGTCACATCAACATCGCTGCTCTATATATATATATAGTTCTTATTGAAGGACTGGGGAAGTTTATTCGTAGTATATAGAGCGGTCCTCATTCCTTCTAGATACCAAGGCCCTTAGTTATGGTGCCATATTGCTCAGAGCAACTAGTTTGAGAAACACTTGTTGCAGATATTTTACAATACAATTGCTATATGTGTAAGTTAGCCTTATTTTTGCTTTCTTTTACAAAAATAATGGCAATTTATTGTAGTTACTGTCTAGTTTTTCAAACATTACATTTATCAAATTTTTTAAACCATACCTGTTGCGACATGATTCAGCTTTAACGCGCAATGCTTGCCCTAAATTCAGGACTTGTCTTCACGCACAAGCACAGCCAGCACGAAATTTTCTTAGTTGCTGTCGCGACTCGAGCACCGCTTAGAACTTGCCACTATTGAATGCGCTTGGGAATGGGCTTGGGCTTAGTGCCTTAAGCAGGAAGTACCGGGCGTTGGCAAAGTGCAAACACAAATAAATCAATTTAAAACAATAAAAGCAAAGCAGCAATGGCAACGGCAGCGACAACACAAAGAGAAGATGATGGATGGCAAGTGACTGCGGCAGAGGATGATAAGCACCGAGGCCTGCAGTGCGAGAACAGTGGCGAAAGAGCGATCTACGAGAAAGAGATAATCAGAGGCGGTCGAAAGACTGTCAATTATGCTGAGCAACTGTACCTGCGTTATGTTTGCTCGGTTGTTGCTACTTCCACTGCCTCAACCTCTGACTTTTGCGCTGAGGCTGTGGACGTAGACGCAGGCGTGGATTTACACGTAGCACGCTCAAATAGAATGACTAGCTCTGTGTGCGTGGTGTGGGGAAACATGTCCACGGCCACTGCAGTTTTGGGATAGAAAGGTTCGCCTTTGTATTGCTTGGATTCGGGACGTGATAGCTCGATAAAATTGCGCTTGGCACTGTGTGGATTGCAGGACACATAAACTAAGCGCGTAATATCACTGGCCGAACGTATGGCAGCAATGGATCGATTGTCTGGAGGGGAAGAGTAAACAATAAATACGTTGCTTCAAGAACATAAAAAAAGTATGTGAAACTCACGTAGTCCTGCTCGTGGTGGGTCTACAACAGCTACTAAGTCCACGGACTTTCCAGGTTCGTAGGCATATACTGCTTCTCGCACCATGCTTTTGATGTAATCGTCAGCATTTCCTGCAAAAAATTTGCAATTGGTGATTCCATTTGTTTGGGCATTGTGTTCGGCATCCTTGATGGCATCCGGCACAATTTCCACGCCCAGTACCTGCTTGCAGTGCTTGGCAAATGCCATGGCAATGGTACCAGTTCCGCAACATATGTCCAGTACAGTCGTATCTTTAGTGGGTGCTGCCAAGTCTATCGCCTGTTGGTACAGAACAGTGGCACCGGCAGTGTTGATTTGGAAGAACGCTAAAGGGCTGATGCGAAACTGCAGGCCTTGAATTACATCTGTAATGTGGGTGCTTCCCAAGAGGTACTCAACAGGATTGACCATCTGTCCGGCCTCACGATGCTTTACGTCCTGGTAGTAAAGCGACGTGCACTTATGTTCTGCATCCGGTTCTACTCGAGCATAGAATTGCCTGAGCTCTTCTTTTAGCTCTATAAGCTCCGCCTCGCTGAGATTTGACGAGTAAATCCCAGCGACTAGCATCAATTCGCCCGTTGCACTCGAGCTGCGCACCATGAGCTGTCGAAAGTGCCCGGTATTGCCCACAGGATTAAAGGGAATAAACTTGGACTGTCGTACCAGTTGCTGGAAGCTACGTGCCGCCCATTTCGCCTGCGCAGGCAAGTGCGGCAACTGTTCCACCTCGTCCACCTCCACGGATCCGTCACTGTAGCTGCCTAATCGAAAGCCCACCACAATCTCTCCAGCTGCATTTTTTCCCACCGTGAACTCGTTCTTGTTACGATAGCCATCGACATTTGGCGATGGCAGCACGCCTTTGAAGTTAAACTTGTCTATGTGAGGCTTGGCATCGGCATTCAAGCGTCGCAACTCTTGTGTGTACTTCCTCAACAAGGACCCCATTTCGTCGGTTTTTTGCTGCAGCTGTTGCTCATATGCCATAGTGGCCAGTGGACATGTTGCCTCTACTGCTGTGCGCTGGCGCTTCTTCGTTTCATTCCCGTTATCTGCCTCAGCTCGGCGTTTGTGCAATGGATCCGCTGAAGCTTTGGCTGCCATCGCTTTTAATACCTTACCCTTCCACTTGTAGCCGTTGAGTGTTTCCAAGGCACGCAGCTGGTCTTCTTGTGTGCGAAAGCAAACAAAGGCAAATTCTTTGCGCGAGGGTGACTTGATCTTTGTCATGTCCAGCTTAAGTGTGCTTTTCAGCAGCTTCTTGAACTCCTAAAAACAGAAGTAAGTTATTATTGAACTTGGGGTAAAGGGTTTGGTGTTGTATACACACGCCGATGCCGAAGTAGCCCATATTCTTCACTTCAATTTTATATATCTCTGACGTAAACTCGTTGCGTTCCAAATACGCGTACTCCTCGTTGCCTTTTTCATCTGTGGTTGTTGTCGAGACGCCTTCAGGCTCTATGCCTGCTATTATTGGCTCGTCAGTGTTTGTCTTTATTTCTTTCACAGGCGTGTCACTATTTGCGGTGTTGTTTAAAACAATTTCCGCTGTTTCTCTACTCTCCACGCACTCCATGATTTATTTATATTCTTAATAAACAAATAAACCTAAGCCGGCTGCACCACGTGAAGCAACAGTGTGGAGCAGGCCGGTATGGGATGCCACTCTGTCAAAAAAAGAAAAATGCGAAAGTATGGCACTCTGCAACCAGTACTGCACGCTAAAATTTTTCCCGTCAGATTGTAGCTTTACAGCTATTTTATAAATTCACGTAGTGAAAAAGCAAGATTTGTTCAAAATCAAGCATTTGTTTACAAAGAATTAACCAAAATTTACTCACAATTAAGCTTTAAAATTATATTAAAGATTGATTCTTGATTTGCATAACAAATTTTATAAATGCAAGCCGCCATAAAGTTCCCCTCTAAATTAATAAAATTGTTTAATAAATCGCGTAAGATCTAGTATTTGGATTAAAGTATTTTCGTTGTTAAGAATTGTAAATATTAAAAACATATTCATAAGTTATAATGATTGTATTTGTAGAGATATAACAATATATTATGATAGGTATTTACAACAGTTGAAAATTGATTTTGATTTGTGGTCAGCCCGGGCTTTTTTCCACAACCATTTCATGTTGATGAATGTACAAATAAAACCTATTCATTTGGTCTTTATCAAAACGTTTTGTTCGTTTCCGGGAAACTCAATATTGCCTGCGAACCTGTGTGCATAATGCTTGTTAAAAAGCTAGTTGCTACAACACTTTAGTTTTAAAAGTAGAGGACTCGTTTGTTTCAAATTTAATTATTAATTTATTATTTTTCATCCATTATTTAAAACGTTCCACTGCGTTGTTCAATATCTGTTGACGTTCAGTTATAATTTGTTGCATTTCTCTTTCGTGCTTCATTATGTTTGAAATTTCATCCAGAATGGCAGCTGCCTGCTGAAGTTTTTCCTGAAAATACATTTATTTTTATGTGCAGATCTCTTTTCCAAGAAATGCGAAGCACCTACTTGACAAGCATCAGCGTTTTCCATGCGCGATGCTTGGGACACGAGCGCCTCCTCCAGATCTAATAGTAAATTTCCCCGAAATATGCTCCAGCCGCCATCAAATAGATCCGAAAGCTGAAGGAGCTCCTGACACAGTTCCACCTTACGCTCGAGGTCTGCCTCACTCAGTTCTAGGACGCACTTTAACATATTTTCATCGACATCGACTGTTAAAGTAATCCATTTAGCTCACCTTCCATTAAAAAGCCCGTGGCATTGCCATAAAGCTGAGTCAGCGCGTACTTCGCCTGCAGGACATGCGTGTTTGTCTCATGTAGCTCAACGCGATGCCGGTGTATAAAGTCTTCGAGGGCCAGTGGAGTTGTTTTGTCCATACTCTCAAGCTCCTGCTGCAGTTGTGCATCCCGGGAAAGCACTTCCTTCGCTGTTTTCCTGAGATTGCACAGCTGACACTTCCAAGGGGACGCATTGTTCAGCGGATTCAAGGATATGACCTGTACAGCTTGTTTAATAGTTTGTTCTAGTAGGGCCTCTGGGCCTCACACTCACCTTTCCCACCTTGCATTTGCCGCACAGGTGGGCGCCGACGAAGCTGCCCAGCTCGGTCGCATCCGAGCACCGATCACAGCTACAGTCGAAACACTTGGCCTGGCGCAGATGGAGTCTTCGCTGAATGGTGCTGCGCAGCGGCTGCGTGTACGATATGCTGAGGATCTCGCCCTTGGCTATTTTGCGCTTGGCCAGAAAGACGATGTTCATCTCATCGTCGAAGCGATGCCGCATATTGGGCACGCAATCATGCGAGATCATCGCCGCTTCCGGGAATAGGGCGCGAATCTTGCGCCGCTGCTCCGGCTGACGCACCTCGAAGGTATTGGTGTCGAGGATGGCAGCGATGCGCAGTATTTGCAGCTCCGACCACTCCCGCAGGCCCAGCACCGTCTTAATGAATGTAATAAGATTGGCGCGCAGCACTTGATAAAGCGGCGTATTCAGACGCTCCTGCAAATGATCCTCCAGAGCGCAGAGCCTTGCGTAGGCCGAGGGGTTGCTGTGCTTTAGTTGCATGCAGCGCAGTAGCATGATGACGCAATAGGCGGACTCCTTCTTCTCCTCTTCGCCTGCACTGTAGTTGATCTTAGACTGAAAATTGCTGGCCGTCATCAGCTTGCACTCCTCAACATGTGCGGGGGCGCCTTCGCATTTACTGCCGCACAGCGGCCAACTGCAATGGCGGCACTTGTAATAGTTTCTGTGCGGCGACTCCGGCGGCAACAGGTGCCTGTGGCAGCCTAGACACAGGGGTGCCGATGCGACCTTGGGTCCGATGACCAACGGTGCCTCACGCAATATTTGCTCGCCAGCTTGGAGGTCGCGTGTTGCGCGTAAATGACGGCCGAGCAGCTCGTTGCTGGCAATCTCGTAGCACTTACACTGCTGCTTGTGTCCGCGTTTCCAGTCCTCTTTCTGGTGCTCCCGGCTGCAGTAAACAACGCTCCTGCAGCCAGCACAGAGTTGCGAGGCACGCACTTTGCAGACCGCACAGCTGGTGGGTGGCAATGTTGTCATATTTCCGAATTCCTATTTCGTTGGATCTGGACGGCTACTGGATGTTTGCGTAATGGGCGACGTTCGAAAACTCACTGACCGAAATGTGCTCGAGCATTGGTTGGGAGGAAAGCGATTCGAATTTTCTTTTGTGTCTCCGTTTGTTGCCAAAAGGGAAAAACAACAACTGCAGCGGCGACGGTAGCCACGCTCTCATCTCTTGTCACACAGTCGTGTGGCGGCGCACGACGATTTATTATTAGAAGTTGGACGAACAATACGAAATTTGTTGCTGCCTTTCAGTGTTGTATCGGTGCTCATCGGTTTTCCCGCTAGATATAACCAACTATTTCAGCCAAAAGAAGCCATCAAAAACTTAATAAGGGGACAAAAATAAATGGGATGCATACGTTTTTAATTATATTTATGACTTCAAACTAAACTCTAGATGAAACAAAAGACATCCGATTTGATGTTTAAGGAGATGAGGTATCGTATTGAGGCTTCCTAAGGGATATTTCTGTTGCAATTTAAAGCAAGAGCAGGTTGCATTAACAACCTTTTCTCATAACAAATTAATTATTAAGAAGGGGAATCCTGTGTTTTCAAGTGAACAAAACTGGTTTATTTTTTGACAAACGCGCAATCTGCAGATTACCTCACAAAGTGTCCCTAAGCAACATATACGGGATGAGAAGTCATTGCGTCTAGTTCCCGACATGTATCTGTATTATCCAATGTTACTAGGAATAATTGTTTTCCCATGATTGGCATTTAGTCATACATGGCCACCACAAGGGCTTCTCTTCCATAATTATCATCTCCCAGTTCTCTACTAAAAAACCCATTTAGTGAATTTCTCCCAAAACAAAAGTTTCAATTGGAATTAATAATTTATTTTTTCATAAATTTTCTATATATTTAATTAATTAATTAATATTGTTTAATTGGAAATCAGTCTTTTTTATGTAAATAAGAGTTAAATGCATGTGGTTGTTGTGCTTGTTTGTTGGTATGGAGTTGTTGTTGGTTGTTATGAAGTGTATAGTAGTTTGGGGGAAACAAATAGGTAGTAATTGAACTATAGTCTGTGTTTGTTTTGTTGCATTGTTGCGTGTCTTAATGTTGTTTCGTTAAGTAACTAAAACTATCATTTAAATTAACAGTTTGAAGAACATAAATATCAAATATAGTTAACTTTAGCTTAAAGGAGGCCTTTCAGTATATAGTATATCGTCATATAAACACACAATATTTCTGTAGACAAATGCTATACACAAATCTCTAATAGACAACAATATTTTCATTTTCATTTTCGATTTCAAATTCTTTTTTTGTTCGCAACATAATTGAAAGCTGCCATACATGTTGCCCTGTTGATATGTACCGCAGCGACGCCGCTGATATGCGCGGCAACATGCTGCAAGCACAAGCATAAGCAAAATTTGTGTCTATAGTATGTTGCTAAGGCAAGCGCAATGTTTAGAAAGCTAGCTAACAACAAATAGAAACAGGCCATAATATCTATCGTTGAGTATGCGTAATAAATGCTAATTAAATTACAATTTGCGCTAAATTACGGGAAAGAACATAAGCAACATTCATGTAGTTGTTGGGCTCTAGCAATAGGTTTTGCTCATTTGTGAGTACATAATGCATACAAGTATATTATAGCTTAGACGTCATGCTGCTCCTTGAAGTGATGATAGTGATGGTGTATGTGCTCGTGTACATAGCGATGTATCATGGAGCTGGTGGCGCTGGTGTCGAGCTCCACATCGACCGCATCGTCGGTGTCCACCTGCTTTCCTGTGACCGCCTCTGCCACAGCCTCGCCCACATCATCATTCAGGTCAATTAATGTGTCGGTGCTGACCACCACTTTGTTGGGTGTGGAAGCCAGTGCTGGTTGGGAGGAGCTAGAGAGGTCTCCACTGGTGGACTCCTCGCCCTCGCTGTTCGATGGCGCCAGCAGATGGGCACATTCGAGGGCGTCCCCAAAGACCAGGGGATGCAATGTCTTGGAGCTCTGCGAGCCACCGCTGCTGGAAGTTTCTGGGCGCTGCACTGGCTCCTGCGTAGGACCTCCTGCCGATTGCTGTTTATGTTGTTGCTGCTGCTGCTTGTGACGTTGGCGACGCTCCCCCTTTTGCTGCAGCTGCTCACTGAGCTTAGCATAGATGAGATTGCCATAGTTTTTGTAATCCTTGCTCGAACGCGAGCCAACATTTTGGCGCGTAGAGGTCGAGCAGCTGAGGCGCTGGTAGCCCTGCCCCTGCGATTCCGCCATGTTGTTGCTGTAGCTGCCGTTGTTGCAGCTTCCGCTGCGCAACAACTTGTGGCTGCTCTTCTGCTGTTGGTGCTGCTGCTTGGGAATTGCTGTCGTGACTATCGGCTGCACAGTGGCCACATTGCTTCCATGAACATGGCCATGGGTGGTGGTGGTGGTGGTGGGAGCCGAGGGCTGTGGCGGTGGCGCAGAAGCTGGCGGTGACGAATGACTGCTTCCACCGCCGCAAATGGTCGCGTGTAAAAAAGAGTCGTAGCCACAGAGATTCAGTTTGCTGTGTGCACTGTGACTATTCTGGGCGGCCAACACGGCCGGATTAATGGCCAGTTGCTGATGGTAGATGGGTATGTGCGGTTGGGGAGGGTGGGAATGGGAATGGTTGAGGCTGCTGCTGCCCGTATCGTGGGCCGTGCTGCTTAGCTCGATGTGATTGTTGTTGTTGTTGCTGTTGCTGCTGTTGTGGTTGTTCGTGGGAGTAGTGTTGTTGTTGCTGTTGCTGTTGCATGCCGATCCCGGATTGGGATTGGCATTGAGATTGGGCGGCTGCTGTGTAATGGCTGGACTGTGATGGGCAATTAGCGTAGGTATTTTCGAAACCGTATTTGAGCGTAGGCGTTGCTGCTGCTGTTGTTGTTGTTGTTGTTGATGATGAGACTGTGCCTGCCGTATGGGACTCACATTGGCTTGGGGTTTTCTGCGAGAGAGGAGCAGAGAGAGCGAAGGAATTGGGATTAGTGTACATTATTGATGCATTCTATTAGAATAGGACTGTTGATATCAACAAGCATTCATATCAACAACACATATTCAAAACATTGACTATTCCTGAGGGAGAGGAGGACAGATCAGGGGACTTGCACTGGTCGCCACAAACCAAATGAAAGGAACAAAAATAAGGACATGTTTGGTGGGTTTCGTGCTTACCCATTCAGCTGAAAACACAAGCGATTCTTCTCCATGCTCTCCCTGATGATGCCAATCAAATCGTTTCGGTTTAACGCCGACTTCCAGCATTCGGCGGACTTGCGCTGCTGAGCCCACAAGCCGGAGCGTGGCTGGCGCAGCTGGACACCATCAATCACATCGCCCAATGGTGGAGATGCGCTTTTATGTGTGGTGCTCGATGGATGTACGGCTTGGTGCTGCAGTTGTTTCTGCTGCTGCAGATGTCGGTTCTGCCAGCAGGTCTCGTTGCCTACCGAGAGACTTCGTTGGCGGGTCTCAATGCAATGATCCTGATACTGAGCGCACAGCACACACAATGAAGATAGGCGAGTCGAACAAAATGAAACAAAAGCGAACAGGAAAATTATAAGATAATAAATTAAAACCAAAATTTAACAAAACGACAAAAACAAAAGGGCGACAAGTTGCGATTCGTGCAAATAATGGGATACACCTTTGGTACAAGTATATACATATATGTACACTGGATCTCTTATATCCTATTTCCTATGTCTCGTTACATTATTTTTCCAGGTGCATTAAATAATTAGTTTAAGATACTTATAGTCCTAAATAAATCGATTACCATAACTTATTATGCTTGGTAGAATATTATGCATGAAATAACAAAATAAGTCTTAAATAGTATTTGAAAGAGAGGGGGTTTTTGAACTGCTGCGAATCATATTATATATGTTAAATTTCAGATAACTTCTTTTTTGAAAACTCTTAAAATCAAATGTCCTGTACAATCGTTTGATACCCCCACTAACCGTAATTGCTTCTAGGGACGGAAATATGTTTGATACCAAAATTCCTGGGTTTACTTTGATTTCAGGGTGAAACCCCCTCAATTCGACATTGCCCTTCACAAGTGCTTGGTTGGGTTGATTAAGCTGAGGTATTTATTGCTTCTGCGACTTGCCAAATTGTTTTTGTTTGTTTGTTTTATTGTACCTTGTGCCTACCTTTTGCTTGCGCGCCCTCCTCAGCATTTTGACGCGCTGCGTAGCCTGCTTCATGTAAATGTCCGTGCTGGGTCGCTGCTGCTCCTCCTTCGCACAGCACTTGAGATTCAGCATGTTCGCATACGTATTGCTGTTGGCCATGGCGTTTTCCGTGGTGTGTTGCTGTTGCTGTTGTTGTTGCTGTTCCGGCTGCTGACAGCCCAGCTCCAATTTTGCATTGTTTTTCTGATAGCGGCTGTGGCTCGATTTGCTGGGCTTGCTGCTACCACTGGGCAGCTCCGCACCCACAGCGGCACCAGTTCGCAGCTCCTTCTCCTTTTCGCTATTGCTGTCATCGTCCTCGTCGTCGGACTTAATCAGCTTGCGTGGTCGATAGCGATGCTGGCGGCGAGCGCCGGCCCCAACGGATGTCGTTAGCGCGCCACTGTTTACTGTTTTTGACGCGCCCGCCGTTCCTGCCGCGGACAGGCCGGTGGGCAGCTTCTTCAGTTTGTTGTTGTTGCATGTGGCAGCCGGCGTCGCCGTCGCTTGATGGGCTTTCGATTTGCCTTCGGGACTAACAGTGAGGCGGACGTTTATTGTCTTGCTGCCGCAGTGTGGCACCACCACCGACTTTCCAATGGACTCGTATATCGTGTACACAATGCCTACAATGTCGTCCTTTGTAATTTTGCCATGATGCCCGTCCAGGTCGTAGAACGTGAATGAGAATTGCAGCGGCTGTGAGGATTTGCCACCCTCAACGGAAACGTCGCACGTGAATTCCTAATGGCAGGAGAAACAGAGAAATGATTGTTTGTTTCATACTCGGATATTTTAAAAAGATTATAGGTAAGAAAATTTTAGATGGTAGCCTCGGACCCATTTAAAATACCTATTGATTAAATGTATTCGTATTTAAGCAACTGCTTTAATTTTCAGGGCATACAACGTTTCTTTAGTTTGGCTCTAGCATTTTCGACCGAATTTCCAGCCCCTACCCCGTTGCCTTCTGCACCCATTTTATACAAAATTTAATTTGTTTTGTTTTCCATTTGCTGCTCTTACTGACCCCCAGGTGGTGATACTGGTCAAGTTTAATCAACTCGCACGGCAACAGCGAGCTGGTCATATTTCATGGCCCACTGCGCTGCACCTCCTGCCTCGTCCCTTTACCCACATAAACTCAAATAAACTCAACTTTTAAATGTGTTTTTAATTAAAATTTCATTGCGCACTTCAATGGCTGCTTACGATAACAATAACAACAACAGATGCAATAGAGCGATGGCTAAAGCCAAAGCAATACCAACAACAAACATTTTGTTGCTATGTATATGCCTGAAAATATTTCACCAACACAAGGGCGCCGCCAATTCTGAATTACCACCCACGGGGCACACACACATTACTTTTTCTTTTGCGGAGCTGTGCGGTAAGCTTTGCCAAAATATCAAAACATTAAAATTCAATAAAAACCATTAAACGTAAGCGAGGCAAAGCAACAATAACAGCAACATAAATAACAAGAACAACAACAAACAGGCAACAGTAAGCACTCAAAGGCAATTAAAAATCTTTTCCCAAGTAGCAAAAAAATATTTTTATTTCGTCTGCCACGGCTTGTGGATGGCCCGGACGGGTAGTACGGGTGGTGCGGGGCTTTCTTCGTCTGCTGCTACTGTTACTACTATAGGAATACGCAGTATAGTATATCAGTGAGAAAAGCCAAATAAATTGCAGACTGCAGCAAAAGTTTTGGTCTGACTCGTGCGTTCATGCTTGGAGGCTAATTAAATATTTAGACAAACTAATTATGGCAGCCATTTGCGATCGTTGAATGTGATGGTTGTTGTGGTAGTTGTTTTGTTAATTCTATTATGTAGCTGTGCCATTAATTGACGTTAATGGTTCTGTGGCTGTTGCCCCAGCAAAACGTCTAAAGTTTGCATATTATGTGTGTGTAATTGAATTTCTGTTTGTAAAACCCAACACTTCCTTCTTGTTTATCGACAATGTTCACACCGAAGCAAAAAGCGTTGCATACTTTTGAGCGCACACATAAAGTGCTCGCTAAAGGGCAACCTAGCAGTAGCCAGAATTTGTCTTTTCTGGTCCATAATACAAGTATTTAATTAATATACGTTTAGTGAGCATGAGAAGCACGAGTTTAGTTAAAACAAATTTAAAAAACAATCTACACTTTGTTATGAAGCCTGAAGTTGAATCAGTTTCTTAAACAAAAGACAATATTATACAAAAGGTCCTTTTTTCTACCTGTTCTTTTTCGATTTTATATAATTTGAAATTGTTGACCTCAGCTGCTCTTACCTCCAAGCGTATTCGCTCCTCCTTGTGGCTCTGATGCAAATGTCGTGATTGTTGATGCGCTTCCTGTTGCTGTTGATTTTGCTCCTGTGGATGCGCATGTGGATGCGCTGACCCATCCAGGACATCTTCCCCGTTCTGCTGCTGCTGCTGCTGTTGATGTGGGTGCTGTTGCACATTTACATATTTGCCGTTGTGTTTGCCACCGGTACTGCTGCTGGTAATGCGCAAGTGCTTGCTGTTACTGCTGCCGCTGATGTCCTGATGCTTAGCTAGGACGTGCTGCTGCCCCGTCGCCTGGTGGTGGTGTGTATGATGATGCTGCTGCTGCTGCTGTTGTTGCTGTTTAGTCGTCGAACTTAAGGCGTTGCCCGGTGGTGTGGTGATAATATTAACCACAGGCGATCTAAGCTGGATGTTATTGTCACGTTCGCTGACCAGCAACAAATCGGGCGGGGCGCTACAGGAGGATGAGGCGCGCACCTGGTGATACATCAGCTCCTCCGAGTCCGTGGTGCATTCCTGGACTGCAAGACAGAGGGAGAGAGAGAGAAAGAGATGAAGATAATGTAAATGGGGCTGGCTTTTTAATTAAAATGCAAAGTGGCATGAAATTGGCGTCTCTGGCGAGCACGTCAAATATTCTGTGGTCGCATCTGTTGTGTGCCTTATCTAACGAGCAGAGGCAGCCTTCTATCCAATCTGTTTGGGTTCCCCTATTTTGGCTTTGGCGGCTTTGCCTTTGACTTTCCCTCCGTGCCTGCTCGCTACCGCCGCTGCAATTTATTTGCAACTTGAACAAAACGCAAAGCGCATTACAAAAAAGTTTACGCTTCGACGCCTGCACAAAGACGCGGCCTGCCAAAGGCAGACACTTGAAAGCGAAGCGGCAATGTCTGCCTTGTGGTGACGACGTCGGCAGTTAGGTCAGTCGAAAGCATTCCTAATTAATGACGAGGCAAAGAGGCAGGGAGTGACCAAAGCTAGTGAGCGCGTGCTGTGGCTGCACTTCATCGCGAATACGCCAGATAGCTCTCTTACTGCCAGATACTTTATCATAAGAAGACCGACCGTCCATTAGCCACTGTTGCTGACTTCTCCACAAAGGCTGTCGTCATTCTATCTTTTTTTTAATTAATTAGCAAAACTATAACGCTTGCCAGTAACTGACCCACATTTTCCAAATTGCTGCCTCCAATTTTCTCTCTACACGCTTTTCATTTTTCATTTGCATTTACCCTTCCTTGGCGACAATTCTACGGCCAGGACATGCCTTTTAATTGCATAAACATTATGCAAGACCAACGCGCCGTGCGCCAACAACTGAATGCTGAGCAGCGGCAGATTGTGTCCTGTGTTATTTCCCCGCAGGATTTGTGCGAGAGAGAAGACAATTAGACAAAGTGCAAGCAAATGAGCTGCTGTTGCTGCTCTGCTAAGCTGTTGTTGTTGCTTTCTTGTCTCTGGCTGTTGTTCCAGGTAGGCTTGCCAAGTGCTCCGATTGTCTGGCTAAGTAGGTGCCCTGCTTCTTTTGGACTAGACAGAAAATGTGGAGCACTGAATACCGTTTTAATATGCCTAGGGAGAGCATAACGACAAGGCAGTTCGAAAAACCCGTAGAACAAGGCATTAAAAGTCTTCAGTTATTGATGAAGATATTTTCATAAATTATTTGACTATTGACGGGACTTCAGTATTTTATAATCGATAAACTTTTTAAGCACCAGCCCAAATGACGCCCCAGCTAACTGCCTGTTATGAATACTATATGAGTCTTATTACAGAATATACATTTTTTCTTTAAAATACTGCTGTGGAATTTATGCGCATTTATGATTTTGTTCGAGCTCGGTTTGAACTATAAAACCTACTAAGACGCAAAACACAAGTTGCTAATTAATTATGCAAATTTTCTGTACTAAGAAGCTCACACCATCGCTTAAAAAAAGCTAATCTTCAAAATCGACATAGGGCTTTATTTGATAAGAAAAGCATAAATATGTTAATGAAAATTTACGAGCTGCTCCGAATGCCAAATATGGATATAGGGCTTTTTTCTAGGGAGGGAGTGATGTGGTATTTGGAGCGCCTGCAGAGAAATTCGAAATGCGATGCTGAATTATAGTTGAGCCGAGCTCCGTCTCCTGTGTTTCATTAATTAGGTTCAGGGCCGTGGCTAACCGAAGCGCCTCAAGCACATCACTCATACGCCACGTACGGCGCACAATTTTTGATAGATAGCCCGGCGCACGTCACGGCCGAGCACGAAGCCTATTTATCATACAAAATTCATGAGGCCAAGCATTTCGACATCAACGGGAGAGTCGAGTTGTCGACTCTGTGCTTCAAGTGACCTCTCAGGTGGGCTTGTCTATCCATCGGCCTGGCTGGCTTACGAACAACTCTCTGCCCCTCTTGCCTATTAAGCAATACATGTTGTCTGCCTATGGCTGCCTAGCTGTTTATTTTCATTTTCAAAAAACTGCGGCTGCCAGCTTGAAGCCGAAATCATTTCACATCTGCCTCACCGCGCATTACGTAAATGTACAATTTCAATTCATTTGCTGGCTATTCCTATGCCTCTGCTTCCTATTTCTTTCCTCTTGGCTTAGAGTGGCTTAGGCCCAGTTAATTTGCACGCGGTATGTTTCATATCAGCCGCAAATGCTTTCAATATGACTCAACAACAACAACAGCAGCAGCAACGGCATTGCCAGTGCCGTGGCACTTGAGAGGAAAACATGTTCTTTAGGTTGTCTTGGCGCCACGATCGAAGCGAATGCCGACGTGCGGTATTTGCTTAAAGCACAAAGGCTATAATTAAACGCAAAACAAAGCGCAAAGAACGTAGCGAGCAGAAGGGAGATGGAGATCGAGTTTGAGTTTGAGAGTCGCCCAGTCAGATAGTTAGTTCAAAAGACAGCCAGTCACCCAGTCGGCCACCACGAACCCATCAAGTGGTAGTGGGCGGCCTTTCATTAGAAAAGGTGCAGAGTCGGCGAGCAATAGTCTTCGCTTAGGTTTTGCTTCTACTTTTTCCTGTTTTTTTCTAAAATTTGGCGCGCAAAGTGCATAAAAAATGACGGTAACGACTAATGAATGTTGGCATATACATATATAACAAAACAACCAACAGGCCGATGGACGATCGGATAAACATATAGACAAACCGACCAACAGCCAACCAGGCAGCTGGCTGGCAACAATTTATTAGACAGATGATGTGCTAACATGGCAGCGATGGAAACAACGAACAAAAAAATAAAAGGCAAAAGTTTTCAAAGATATAAACTAAAGATAAACTTCATAATTGTGTCTGCGCATACATATATGTATACTTGTATGTGTGTGTGTGTGTGTGTGTGTAAAGAAAAACAAAAGTTGCGGCTGTTGTAGTTGTTGCTGCTTTTCTGCTGCTTCTATATGTAGTTGCTGTGGAGTCACATCTCGCATGTAAGTGTTAATGAAGCTAAGTGTTTTCGAAGCAGACGACCAACAACAATTAATGAAGTCGCATACCATGCGGCACTGACAGAAACATATTTGAGGCCATGATAAAGATCTGGCATACTCGTACTATGGGGCCCAGAAGTAGCTCATACATAGATTCGAAAAATACCAAATAAACACGAGGCAGTCATTCGAAAAATAAATGTGCAGAGAACATACAAGACATTCAAATAAAAACAACGGAAGCGAGCGAAAAAGTTATCTTCGTCTGAGCCGAAGCTATATGCTCTTATATTGTTATAACTTCGATTTCAAATGATACTAGCAGCTTGCCGAATTTTTCCGAGATTCTTCACCTTCAATTATATTTTATCTTTTATTATTTAAGTATTTTAATTTGTTTTCTTTTATTTTTGTGGCTGTTTTTTCATCTACACATCTTTTTTGTTAGGTCTTATAACGTATCTGATTACTCTCTGCTGTGAATCGGGGCATAGCTGGCCATTTGGCAAGGTTATAGGCTTTTTTAATTCGTTAGTTTTATTTAGTTTAAGTTCTCTATTGTATTGATTTTTTTTCTTTCCTCTTTTACATCGACAGCTTTGTTGGTCGATGAAATAAATAAATAAATAACTACTTGGTTTGTGTATAGAAGAACTGAAGAATCAATGATTAACTTCTTTAGAAAGGCAATGATTAGTGTCGTCCCTATTTTGGACAAAAGGGAAAATGACTTGCATTTCTATTTATTTAACCACCATAAACAAAGGCTAACTATAGCTCTGCAACTTAACTTCGTTCACTGATTTTCCTCTTGAAACTGTAAATGATTTGACAAATTAATAATTATATGGATGTTAAATTTCATTTATTGTGTTCTTTATAAACAAAATAGTGGATTGTTTATGGTATTCACTAAATCTTGTTATCAAACAAATTGATTGCCTCTTTGAATTCTATTTTTGTGTTCTTGTTGTTTCTGTTACTGTGCCTGTGCCGCGCACGCCAATTTGCGAATTGGCTAAAATATTTTCTGCTTTGCCATTTATAGCATTTAGTCTACAACTCGGCATATACTTGTACATACATAGTAAGTATATTTGTAAGTATGTACGAGTATGTAGTTTAGTTATCGGTCGAACGGCAAAAATCAAAAGAATCGTATTTGTCGCTTATCAGCAAAAGAAATCTGCCTCTATGTTTTTTGCTTGGCTCGGCCCGACTTATCAGAGTTGCTCGCTAAATACCAGTAGCAATTATTGGGCCGACTCGGCGCTGACGCTGACGCCGGCGTCGACGCCGACAGAGCCGTCTCACACGTCGCCGTCGCTGTTTAATTAAATACCGATAATTGATATGCGAACGAAGAGAGTTTACACCACGCTGCGATCGCCGAGTCGATGGAAATGATGGGTTCTAAGCGGAGGCTCTCATTGGCAATTGCAGCCGCAATCGCCTTATCAGCCGCACTCTTCAAGTTCAGGGCTCTTGAGAGGAGGCTGGCGCCATCGGAGTGTTGGCGATTTGTAGTTGTTGGCCATTCACGTACATTTGAAGTGGTTGCGATTTTGGCCGAGTTTGCTTCGGTGTCGGCGTTTTTATGGCTTTGCTTTTATGTTACAAATCAAGTGAAACATATGCCGCCAAGACGACCATCGTCGTCATCATCGTCATCATCGTCATCGCCATTGTTGACTGGCCTTTTGGCATGGACTTACATATTGGCCGCGAGCCCAGCTCACCAGATCGAGCGTGCCTTTTGTACGATACACACTAAAATACGTTGCCGACGCCACCAACGCCGCCGCGGCACAGTGGTTCGATCTCACAAGAGACTTTGCTTCAAATGGTTCATAACACTACACACAATTTAATTAACAGAAGATAACTTGCTTTGCTCGAAATAATTATCAGATCACGAATGGAGTGGGGGATTCCCCAGCTGGCTTCTACATTCTGGATAAATTTGTAATGTGAGGGAGCATATTTTTTTCACACTTTATATGGCAATGAACTACCATTTGAGGCGCCAAATCAACAGACCCCGGCTTAACTGGCGAAGGAAACTTGAAGATTT